TCGTTGGACCGTGGCCCTCGCATCCCTACAAAGCCGGGACGGGGCACGCCGGGTTTTCACCGGACCAGGTTGGGGGGGGGGGGGGGGGGGCGAAGTCGTCGATAGCATGCATTCGCAAAAGTAGTCAATGACCAAAACATGACGTCCATGCCCACAAGCCCATCGGAGATACCTCCAACACTTGGGTGCTCCTGTGTTCGCTTGTTTCCATGAGGGAAAGCAAGCTACGGAAAAGCATCTCCCCTTCAAGACTGAAGAGGGGGGGGGGGGGAGGCTCTACAATTTAGCAGACCGACCCCCCCCAATAGGCAGCATAGATGATGTCCACCGCAGCACAGATGATGACCATCTCCCAAGCTCCCAAGGCCGATCAAGTGGCCGGGAGCGGTGGGGTAGTCACCGCGTACTGTGTAGAAAACACGGCGGCACAAAAACCTCAAGTGTTCGCGATGCTTGTAAGGACGAGCCCATGTCTAGCTCCACTACTGAGCGCGGGGGCGTTGCTGAAATCGTAGTGGGATGTCCTTGGGCTTAGGTCACCCAATATCCTAGCGCAGGGGGGAAGGGGGGGGGTGTACTCATAGTCGTGCATGCCGTAGTCGTTAGACCATTGACCTCGCATCCCTACAAAGCCGGGACGGAGCACGCCGGGTTCTCACCGGACCGGGGGGGAGGGGGGGGGGCGTACTCGTGTTTTGCATGCCTACCGGTTAGACCATTGACCACGAGAGGACCGAGAATTTCCCGGCACAGGGGATGAGCGAAAACCATCAAGAGTCGCTACTTGGTAAGCAAAATAAGTTACCGTTGGAGCCGTATAGCAGGGATTCTAAGTCGCGGTCGTTGGGGCGTGGGTGGTGCTAGAGGTGGACCAAGAGGAGGGCAGCAAAATTTTCAATGGCACTCTGAGGGAGGTAGTACTGCCCAGCATCTTTCTTGCACAAGGTTTGATGCCTTGGGGTATCAGAAGTGTCGGGGGAAAAGGTTGCAACTAGATGCTCTCTCTCGCGCGGAACGGAAAAGCCAGAAAAAGCGCGTCAGCCCTTACACAGATATCTTGATCATGAGTCTCATTACACTCGTGACGATTGCCATTTTCTCATCGAGAACCGCACGAGCCGGCCCGGTTTTGGGCTTGCTGGTGAGTAGAGTTCTCTGGCTACAAGTACAAGGACTGGTCATGGTCTCGGTAGTACGGTGCCGATAGCCTCTCTATGAGCACAGTGCACATCATATCACGTCGTGTCGTGCACTGTTTTGCAGCGGCCACGCGGCAGATGTTCGAACAACCCAACCCCGCTTTCCCCGCAGCTTCGCAGCTGACGTTGACTTTGATTTTCAAAGTAGAATGCCTCGAGGACGTCTTTCCCCAGGCAGGAACTTGCTTGGTGAAAATCAAAGGGCGTTGCCGAGACGAACGATTTTTCCGACCAGTCAGAGCTCGATATGTGTTGGTTTTGATTTCTTGATTATTGGAGCTTCGTTAACGTAGGGCTCAATGAACGCGACCTTCGGCTGGCCCTTCGACCCCAAACGAGACACGTTTGAAGTTTCTCAACTGCTTCCCGTTGGGTACCTTGGTTGGACATAGACGAGCTGACGTGGTCGAAGTCATCCATAGCATACAGCAGAAGCAGTGCTACTGGAGTCGCAATGTTGACAATTTTTTAATTATTTTCTGAGTCATGACCCAACGAATCCATCTCTATCTACGTCAGAAAAGAGTCTAAGATAGATATTTACCCGATATTTTGTCGTTGACCCAGTAGAGAACTATAGGGGACGTATTGTAAAATGTAAGTTACCTATACAGATGTTTTTGTATTTAGCACCAGCTGGCATCACTGATATAAATAATCAGTGTATAGACTAAAAAGACTCGAAATAAGTCCAGTACCCAGCCGTTTTTCCTCCACTCACTGAAAAGACTCCACCACATCCCGTTCGACTGTGGGTATATCTCGAATGGGAAGTCTTCCTGTGTGTGTATTTATTATTCCTTAATAGATTTTTGGATTTGGTAGGCGTGGCGATGCCGTGATGACCTCGGGAAGAGGCGGGGCAACTATGTACTGCTATGTTCCACAAACACGCCCCAAACGTCTTTCTACATGTCGTGGTTTGCATACAGCAGTAGTAGAGGGGCCGGTTTAGCGACCCCCTGTTAAGCGACATCCACTGCTATTCAGCGACCAAAAATTCACGTCGTACCGCCGCACCCCGGTAGAATAAATAACTGCTGCATAACCGAATAGATCTCCGAAATACCTGTTGCCTGCAGCAACCGCCGCTATGTTGCTCGTTTGGGACCGACCAGCAAGTGCACCCACGTCTTACGTCTTACTCTTGTTGTCAGATTTCAGAAACTTCGCGCTGACTCTATGCTGCTGCTCTCTGGTTGGCCAACTAGTTTTTCGTCTTCCGCTCCTCACAAAACTCAGATTTCAACGCCTCCTGTCTCTGCAATCTTCTCCTGCTGCGTTCGGCGTAGCGACCTGCCCTGAAGAGCGGCCACATTTGGTCGTGAAACTGCTAACCAGAGGGCCCCCGCTGGCAGACTGCAAGGCTATCAGTGTAAGCAGCGTAACCTACTGTACCACCCGCAATTTACCTTTGGGCGTCTGCTCAACCACGGGGTGGTGGACGCGGTCATGCTCAAAACGCAAAGGTTGCCAGCAAGCAATGGACTAGACTACAAGTGCAGTATTGCGTGTCCAGTTGGTCCGTAAATGCGTGCATGCATCGACGATCCCTTTGGCGGACGGGAGTGAGGGAGGGTTCATGGAAAACAACGATACAACGTCTCGGGAAACGGGTGCGCAACGCCATCAGCAGCGAGCAGGAATTTTCATTCGAGTGCGCCCCTTACACCAGGGGGAGAGACGAGGCTGGATGCTATGCATTCTGTATAAACAATAAACAATGCACCATCAGCACACAACGTGCGGATTAATCAGCTCGCCACAACCATTGTCCGACGACGAGGTGATCAATTTAAAGGGTGATGCCTGCATGTAGACTTGGAACTTGGCACTCTTTCAGCACAGCCTGCTGTGGTACAGCAGTAGGTGTACATGTAGATCAATGAAACGTCATGAAGGCTGTGTTTGTGGGTGAAAAGGCAAGGTACAGCAGAATTTCTGGTGTTGTTTAAAGGAACGCGTTGGCACAGCCAAGGGGTCGACAGCCTACTCTCGGTGAGGAAAGCCAAGGCACCAATGCCCAAGGCTCGATAGGGGGGGGGGGTAGATGACGAAGATCGTGATACCCAAGACAAATACGTACTCAGCAGCAGCAGCAGTGCTTCGCCTACCGTTCTTCCAAGCACACCCGCCCCACCGTTCAACACCTTCCCCGGCCTGGGTGTTCAAGGCGGCTACGCAATTCGCAGGGACGGGTCTGTCATCTTCCTCTCTCCCACTCTCTCTCTCTCTCTCTCTCTCTCTCTGTGTGTGTGTCTCTCTCTCTCTCTCTCACCCTTCAGGTGGTGTTGTCGTGAAGGCGAGCTCATCCTCGACAGGAGAAGAAGAACTCGAAGAGTCAACCCCGGCTGTTGTTGCCGTTGGGGGCAGCTTCGGAAGCGTCGTCGGCACCAGAAACAGGGCAACGGGGATGGCAACGAGCTGGCCGATCAGGCCGAGCAATATGCGGAGCTGCATCTCCCGCCCTCCCGGTCACCTTGCGTATCCTATTTAGTTAAATTTGTTTTGGTCGTTTGACAAGGCTCACCGCACGTCAGAGCGGGTTCCCGAGAGCGCGCGCGATTCCTCTTTTTTTTTAAATTAAAAATGCGGTGGAATTGCTGCACCACCACCACCAAGTTTGGCGTCGCCCTTGGCCTGCCATTCCGAGCACTCTTACTTGCTGCGTTGCTGTGTCGTCTTCGCCCTCTAGGCTAGACTATTTTGGCGCTGCCATGGCTGAGGAACCCTCGTCGCGCAAGCGAAGACGAGACGATAGCAGCAGCAGCAGCAGCAGCAGTGGGCACCTTGGATGTGTCGCAGTAGCACCGCCGGCATCATCAGCAGCAACGGCGAGAGACTCCGCGGCGGCGGGCGGCAGTATCATTGTACCGGATCACAGCAGCAGCAGCAGTAATGCCTGCTTGCGGAAGGGCATGGTTATCCTCAAGAGCTTTCTCTCGGGAGATGAGCAGGAAGAATTGGCGGTGAGGCCCCGGGGCAAGCATGTGTGCGTGTTGGTAATGCGTATCTTGCCAACTCCTAGGCGACTTCTGTGTTGTACGTACCCAATTCCTGTTGTACTCGCTCGCTGGCTACCTCGCATAGACGTATCTCGCACTTGACCAGGTCGCCCCTGCGAGCACCCGCAGGTGCGTGGACGTATGCTACTTGCCAACTCTTTTCACGCCAACCACCGAACGACACGATCACTGCTGTTGAGTTCATCCATTGGTCGTCGAACTCTCAGTCGCGCTGACGGCGTCCCGCCCCCCCCGTTCCCTCCAAGGCTCACGTAGGTCGCCTAGGCGCGCTGCAGCACGGTGGTTTCTACTCCTGCCACAACGAGAAGACGAAGCGCATGCGGATGGTGAGACGCGCAGGGAGACGGAGGGGGGGAGGGCTGCTGCCTTCGGCGCGTGTGGGACGCAAACATACAGCAGAGTACATAGTCGAGAAGTCGCGGACCTTTGCATGGGTTGTTTTGGCCACCCGTCCACCTGTTTGGGGTGAGCGAGGGGCCATGGATTTTCCCTCCGTAAGCGTAGGCGACATGAACCCTAGGACGTCGGCCGCGCTTGTTGCATAGGGTGCGGCTCACTTTTTCGGCCTTCGGTTCAGCGTGTTTTTCGGAGAAGACAACCAACCTCAAGTTGGGAGAAGGGGAAGAAAGCGGCAGATAGACAGCAGTGCAAGCGGTCAGCGAGAGTGGTGGTGGTGCGAGGTGCCTCGTCGGACACATCATTTGGCCCAGAGATGGATGTCGAGAATCGAGCCTCAAGCGTTTTCACTGACAACAACAGCAGTAAACCACAAGCCGAAAACGATGCAACGCCGACAGATGAATCTGGGGCTGAAGACAGACGGGAACAAGCACGTGTTGCCCATCCCGCCGGCGTGGACCGAGGTCGCCCTGAGGGTGAGCGAGCGACAAAAGGCTCTCGCTACGGGGCGAAGCCGGCCGAGACTCACGTACTCTCTAGCGGATCTGATTCTTCCTCGGGTTTTGGTTGCTCTCGCCCCGACGCCTCTCTGTTCCTAACAAACCCCGCCCTTCTGCGGTTCTGGAGCCGGAAAGGTCGTGTTTCTAGCACCGAATAATTCCTTGATGCTTGAGAGCGAGGGAGGGTCATGTTTCTCGGCCAGTAGCCCTTCAGAGGGTTTTGGTATTCCAGAAACATGTTGGATAGAGCATGAAATCGGGGAAGTTGAGTTAGGGTTAGGGTTAGGGAATAGGGTCTGCCTACCCCCTCCCCGTTCTATGTCCTTATAGTACGGAATTTCCCGCGAATGCGGTCCTTCTCGCCACATGGTAGTTTTGTTACCGTTATGAACTTGGGATGCTAACCTCCGTCGCCTGCTGCCATGGAATGTCTAGTGGGATTCGACAACAACCACAGCACAGACTTGACGACCACTTCGTTGCAACTATCGGTACATGTTCAATTCACCGACCGGGATCGCACGGAGGAGGACGGTACACACTCCAAATATGTTTTGTTCTTTGCTCTCCACCTTTCCCCTTGCGGTGCTTTGCCTTCGACTGTTGTCGCGAGACGCGTTCATTCAGCGTTGCTTCGTTTCGTGCTCACAGCTGTTGGTTTGAAACGTACTACCCTTGCTCTGGTTTGTCCTTCGTTGGTATGAAGCCTGACCCCTTCGTTTCGTATCCCCGTGGGCAGGCCTGTCAGGTTGCTGCGGAGATGGACCCATCCATCCCCATCCCGCGACCAGACATTTGCGTGGTAAACCACTACACCGTCGCGTCTCGCCTAGGATGGCACCAAGGTGCGCGGACGAGTCGTCATTTGAAGAACCCTACGAAGTTGTTGTTGTTGTTGTTGTTGTTCGCTTGCCGTAGGTGGCGCAACAATCTACCAGATCTCGATGAACACCAGGTGGCATTTCGTTCACAAAAGCCCGAAACGCGGATGTCACTTACGCGGGTGGTAGGATGGTATGTTTTTTTCTCGCGTTGTGGTACAGGTTTTAAAGTTTTCCAGCGCTGACCTTCTGCCCGTTGCAGATTCGTCGCTTGCTGATCGTTCACAGACCACCGCAAATGTTCTTTGTCGGTTTGACCCTCATTTTCTTTCTTTTCTGTTGAGCCTTTTGGTTTTCCGTGCATGCATCATTCCGAGCGGATTCCATGGTTGTTGCTGCTGTCGAGCTGTGTTCTTTGACCCCCATGTGTCGCTTTTGGCGACACTCTGATTCTGTTATTCTGAGCAGGCCACCGGCGCCAACTGCTCTACGCCCCCCTGACTCCCCATGTTCCTGGGGTGTGCGTATGCCGTGTGCTGCGCGCTTTGTGCCGAGATCCCGCTATCTACCGACCCCGAGCTCCCATTGCTTCACTGTCTGCTGTCGTTGTGCTTTGCATACACTCACGCCTTGTCTTACGGTGAATAGCCCTAGCCTCCCCCATAACGCCCCCCTTCACGGGTTTCCAGCCATGGCCTCTATAAGCGCCCTCTATTTTCAGCCGCACTCTGAGACTGACGTGTTTTCCTCTCTGTCAGCCGGTTAACACGGTCGATGATGATATGAAAGAAGGCACACACGGCTGGCTTCCGGACGTCCCTTTTTTGTGTGTTCGATCCCAGCAGATCTGTCTAGCCGTCGAGATTCAGGGCTGCCAGTGATCTCTTTCTCTCTCGTGAGTGTTTGTGCCGCGACTGCACCATTTCGCCGTCCGCAGACGGCAGACAAGAATGATCTGTGTTGCAAGCACAAGTTTTTTCATCGGTTGGTTCTTTGAATGGCCCGCCGAACATCTCCGCGCGATGCACGTGCGGTTGCGGTACTCCTTCGGGTGTTGCTGTGGGTGCTGTTGTTGTTGATGCTGCTGGTGGTGTTGTTTGTTGTCTTCATGTGAAAATTCTCTCTGGCCTCTGTCCGAACAACTCCCCCTTCTTGATTCGAGAGAAAAATAACTACTTTTCATGGTCACCGATGTTGTTTCTAGCTTTCGATGGCTGAGATGGGGTCCTGTGGGAGATATCGTTTCCGTAAAATATTTTTCCCGCGTATGAACAGCGGCGTCCCTCGGTGGTCGTCGGCGATCAAGTCGACGGAAAGGCACCGACTGTTTCTTCGTGTTTCTTGCCAGGCGGGACGGGGTCACAAGGCGAGGCTACCCTTTCTCTGTGGCTGCATAATCGCATCACACCAGAGTGTCTGCGAGAAACGGTTGCAGCCAGCGTCAGGGCCAGCTTTTTCTGGGTGCAATCACGTCCCACCGCTGTCTTCTGCACGAACAGAAACAAGTGCACCACGCAACGGTTATTGCCGCTTGCCACTGCTGTCCTCCAGCCGAGGTTCAGGTTCACGCTGACTTACTCTTACCGTGTGCAACTATTCCCCCCGCCCCCACCCCTCCGCACGAAAGGGACAACCGGCAACGTTCCAGTACAGAATATCCTGGAAGAAATCCGCTCAAGTCAAGTCCGTGCGCCTGGAGAGCGGAGACGCGCTCATCTTCGGTGGCAGGTCGAGGGGGATAATCCATGGGGTACCCCGGATCGACACCGCCGTCGCCCCCCCCCCCGCGGTGGTTATACCACCCGCCGCGACTCGTAGCTCCGCGGCGGAAGGGGCCGAGGGTAGAGGCGCGGGACCGTGTGTTGTGCCCGGTGGCGGCCGTTTCAACTTGAACTTCCGGGAGTTGTAGATAAGAAGGTGGTAGAGAGCGCCAGATGAAGGGCCGTGGCAGCGCAATGCGAGGTGGTCCCTGCCGCAGATAGATGATGTGTTTGTTATCATCAATCGTCCCGCTTTTTTTTTGGAAACATACATGAATCGAAGAAAGACTGCCCACAGTCGAAGGTTGAAATCTTTACAGAGAAAAATTTTTTGGTGGGGCTTCATGCGTGCTGCGCTGCTGTGGCGGTGCAGTCTGTTCCGAGCCTGCGGCGCGCTGTCGGCGGGGTTGCAGAACCGGACGATCTCCGGAGATAGTTCGCGCCCTTCACCCTGTTTCCACGAACACAGACAGACCCGCATCGCCGTTGGGGGCGAGGAGCCGTGCTGGACGTTTGTGGGAGGGGGGTCGCGCACGTACAAGTAGGTGCTTAGAGGACCGAATGGCAAAGTAGTGACTGGAGTGTTCGAGTTACAAGCACCAAGACTCCATCCAGCTGGCTCATCGTGAACAACATAATGCACTTGGAGGCTTACCACCAACCTCCGGCTTGCTTCAAAAGTCGCATGCAACTGGTAACTCGCTGTTAATAATTTCCTGGCTGCTTGTGACACACCTTGGAACCCTCTGCTGGGAGTGATGTGATTCACGTGCACCAAGTGTCATTCAAACTAATCCCTACACACACACACACACGTCCACGTCCACGAGCAGCAAAGCGCCAACTGCTCACGAAACCTTTTGGAGGCGCCTCTCTCTGCGCTTCTCTCCGCTGATCGGTCCGATGTTAGGAAGCGGGAACCGCCACGGCGGTGATTAAGGAATAATAAAAATAATATAAACACACACAGAAAGACTACCCATTCGAGATATACCCACAGTCGAACGGGATGTGAAGTCAGACTCGTCTGCGATTTTGTTTTTTCCTGAAAATAGGTGTTCTCCCACACCCGACCCAACTTCCTCAGCAACTACGAACAATACTGATGTTTTCTTGAAGGGACAGGGTTAGGTTGGGGGTCTCCGGAGAACTTATAGAGTGCAGCTTGTCGCCAACATGAGATTGTCCGTCGAGACTACATGTGTTGCACCCCCACTGCCCACCACCAGTCGGCTGCCTGCCCGAGGTTCCGATTGATTCCTCTCTGCGTGCGATTGTATAGCGTTGTCGATGTCTCTGTACTGATGCTGGTGCTGCCGTGGTTGCCGCTGCCGCTTAAACACAGCCGAGTGAGGCCATACCCTTGCAGCGAAAGGGTAACGACGAAAACGGCTGTGAAAACGGAGGCATGGAAAGAAGTGTCCGATGCACTCATTTGTTGGTCATCATATGCATACCAGGAAATAACACGGTCAAGGCCTGCGCGTGCACGTGTGGGAATGTCTCGGATTCACGCCTCTCTCTTCCTCCCGTAGGCCGGCTCTCGAGAAGCGAGACACGCACGAAAACCCTCTCCGGAAATGCGGGAGGCCGCTCGTATACGGAAAAAAAAAAGGATTCCCGGCAAAGGCCTCGCCTTCAACAGGCAGCAGTCAACCCACGCGACACACGGTAAAACGTCATGCCTTCCATGCAGAGCATCACAGGACCGGTGCTGCACGTTCAACCCACAATTGAGTCCGGAACGTCAAAGACCTTTATTGAACACACACGACGACGATACGTTCGTACATCGAAGAGGACAAAACGTCAAAAACCATAGCAGTGGTTCCATTCCTCGGCGCATGATCGTACTGACCATCTTTGGTTGGAATTGAGAAACTTGTTCCCCGTCGGTCTTCCACCGACTAATGCCCCTTTCCAACTCCGGCTGCTCTCTTCCCCGCATGGGGTTATACTAGCTACAAGCGGCGTTTTTCGAACCGACCGTAGCCCTTCCCGGGGACACATCCCCTTCCTCCTCTTCCCAAGCCTTCACCGACAGCACTGCTGTAGCCCACCACAACTCAGATGGGTTTCCGAGGGAAAAGGAGGCCATGGGACAACCGAGAAAGGCGGGTCAGATAGTCCCCCCCCCCCACTTACGCAGCGTTTCTCCCTCTCCCGCCGCCACTCCAGCTGATATTTTCGCCCCCCTCCTCTTCGAGGTCGTTCGTTTCGCGACTGATCCACCGCGGCACCAACGACAAAAAAAAACTTTCTGATACTTTCCCTTTCCTCGCTCGTCCCGAAATCAAGCCACGCCGGAGCAGCCGCCCAAGACTAGCGGGGTGTGCTTGACGCACAATCATGTGTGTTGCCAAAACTTTACCCCAACTCGCTCTACTGACTCATCAAAATTTACCCAGGATTTCGTTGCTTATCCCACCAAGATGGAGGTCTTGGTGAGGAACTTGTAAGGAGGGATTTCGAGGTTCAGGGGGGCGGGCCCCTTGGGAATACGCCCGGCTGTTTCATAGTGCGACCTGCGTGTGGATGAGCTTTTTGTGTGCGGAAGGAGAGGGGGGGGGGGGGGCTCGTGAGGGAGACGTGACGAGGGACAATCAATTTGTTTTCGCTCTTTGGTTCAAAACATAATATGTTTTTCAAATTTTGGTCCACAACAGTCTTTTTTCGTGTCCAAGTTTTCAGTACACAGCAAGATTGGGACCAAAAATTCTCTGCCGACACTCAACTAAAATCTTCCGACTCTGCATTAATGAACGTCAATTGAGGAATATAAACAAACCCGGCACACATCCGTCGCAGAGGAAAAGCAAGGCACGTTACTGCATCTCTTGCCTAACAAACAACGCAAGAACGTGGAGCAAACGTTTGGAGCCTACGGGAGAGGATTAAGCCCTTCTGGGTCACCCTGCACGGAACTTCAGCCTAGTCAAGAAGATGAAACATCGACGTACGTCAGTAGGTGAGACGTTCCAGGGGGCAACGGCCGTCGAGATAGTCGCGGAAAAAAGTCTCGGACAAAAAACACACATGTCGCATCACGGGTAAAAGTAATGCGGCATGTTTGGGAGACTGCGTCGTAAAAGGAAGGAGAGAAAGGAACGAAAAAATAAAAAATCACCCGTGCTAAATAAATATCCGTTGAAAAAAGAATAACTCACCCGTGGCACGGGCAGAAAGATCCGTTGTAGTCCCCGGCGTCGGGGAGGGGCACGCAGCCAAGGTGGGTGCAGATGCCGATCACGATCATGAACTCGGGCTTGAGGCAGCGCTCCTCGTCCGTCTCCTGGTCGCGGAGGTCCTCCATGAGCACTCCCGCCTGTGCCCATCGTTTCAGGGTAAATCATTGTGCGTATGCATAAACAGGAGAATGCTTTTTTAATGGTGCTGCTGCCGTCTATGCGTCCGCCTGTGCCCACCGTCTCACGGCAAATCATTGAATGCATAAACAGGAGCATGTTGTCTTAATGGTCCTGCTGCCGTCTATGCGTTGTAGTTCACGCGTCGTGTGTTTCTTGCGTGAGAAAAAAAAAAAAATAGCCAAAAGGTGATGCGGCACCCTTCCTACCGCCCTGCGGGTGCCGGCCTAAGTGAGTTTGAGGTCACCTAAACGCGTGCTCCAAGGGTACCAACAAAGAGAGTCACGCCGACAGCCTGCCATCTGAGTGAATTCAATTTTAGGTAGGGTATCCCCAATGGGGTTTGGAATCATGCAAAATGCATGTCACGGTCTATCGACCATAGTTAGACCTCAGACCACCTTTAGCAGCGACTAATGACCACTTCGGCTTTCGCGTACCAGGCTCGCACGACATCAACCACTAAGCAAGAAATCGACAGCGTGAGCGTGTGTTTGTGCATACTCATAGCCGCGCATGCGCTAGTCGCTTGACCATTGACCTCGGAGGGGGGGGAGTGGCACGAACGAGCCCTTGGCGGTGAAAAGGCGTGTGCGGATGTGGTGATAGAGACAACGCGACGGGTAACTTCGTTGTTCCGTCTGCCGTCGGGAGGGAAAAGACAAGCACAGCTAGTGCAGCAGAGCAATGAGTCCGCTCTGTCGCATCAGCAGCCCACTCCCTCGCACCCGAAAAACAAAAAAAAAACGGGCACACGACTCCCCCTAACCAAATAGCTGCTGCTGCTGCTGCTGCTGCTGCTCTGTTCATAATTATTCTGCTGGTGCTATGTAGAATAGACCGCTAGGGTGACCCAGAACTCGGGTCGACAGCAGTATGTTATTCGGGCGGACGCACCTCCCTCTCGATCATCGCGTCATCCCTGCGCTTGATGAACACGGGCTTTCCGCGCCACTTGAAGATAACGCTTGTCCCTGCGATGCGGCCGAAGAGAAGCGGGAGGGGAGGGGGCGTACTCATGTCTTGCATGCCCTACTTATGAGACCGTCGACCACGAGAGGACGGAGCATCGTTCCCATAGGACCGACCGATCACCGATGGTCAATCGTTCCTTGCTGCTTAGCCAAAGGTGGCTCGAAAAAGTCTTTCCCTACCATGTCGGTATCACTCCCCGCCATTTCAGCCCAGACGGGGCGAAGGCACCGAAGTGCGGCGAAGCGGGACCAACAACGACATTCGTAGCCACGGTGGCGAGGCAGTGAGTATCGTCAGGGCACCGCTAGTCTAATTTCGCGCCGGGGGGTCTCACGAGAGAACCAGTGTGCCTCTTCTTCCACACCGCCGTCTCTACTCTCAGTATGCAGGGAAGATACCATTGTAAAGGCGGTTCCCCGTTGTCTATGTTCCATGTGTAGGCAAGATACGCTTGTAAAGTCTCCCTTTCTCTCTCTCTTGCCCCCTCCCGTCTCCTCCTCGTGGTACCCCGCCGGCCCCCCCCCGCGTTCTTTCATCTCCGTTCGTTCCAACTCACCCATTTCGATATCCTTAAGCTCGAACTCGGCGGTGGCGAGCGCCATAACGTCAGCGGCCGGCTCCCACGATGCCAAGAACTGAAAAGATCGACAGCGGACAGCGAGAAACGAACGAAGCATTCACACACCAGCCCAGCCCAGACAAAAAAAAAAGCAGTGGCAAAAAAAAAACACAGGTAAAGCCAGAATTAGGACAAAATACATAAAACCCACGCCGGTTGGCGGTGTTGCGTCATCTTGGCGTCTTGTGAGAGCGAAAAGTTGTTCCCTCTTGATGTAGGAAAGAGAGTCTTCAGACCCGCCCCGCCCCAAATAAACGCATACACAAACACGCACACATATAATACATAGATATACGCTTCTGGGGAAGTACATGGTCATACTGAGTGTAGCAGTATTATAGCACCTTGGAGTCACGAACAATTACTCGTGCACAGCGTCAACACCCAACAACAAAAAGGATTTGGCACCTACAGAGTACTTAGCCAGATTAGATGCGACGATACACACACACCACAGGCAACAGCATCATCAATAACCAACAGCAACAGGGTTGGGTGCCCTTGAGAACAATCAGCCACCAACAGCAGTTCAACGCCAAACAACAGCAGGATTGGGCACCTCGAGAAGAATAAGCCACTGGCAACAGCCTCATCAACACCCAACGACAACCAAAGGATTGGGCACCTTGAGAAGGATCAGCCGCGCCGAGGACGCGTAGAGGAAGCGGGAGGCACCGAGCATGAAGTACGTGAACTCTCGCTTGCCCGGGTCACCCTTGGCCACCCTGTCCTTCTCGAAGTAACCGTCCTGGGAGGATGAGCAGCAGCAGCCGGTGGGAAGTAGGGAAAAACAAGAAGCAGCAGCCGAAGCAGCGTTAGTAGCCGCAGCAACAGCAGCAGCAGCGGCGGCGGCGGCGGCACACGAACAGCAGCGTGGGTGTAGGGTGAACGGCATCGGCGTACGTCGTTTGTCAGAGGCCCTCCGTCGGGAGCACCGTCATCGTCGCCAAAAAACGCCAGGCACGCCATCAAAAACCCACCCCGTAGTAACAGTGGAACCGTCCCAATACTCCCACGGCCATCTGCACCACAGCATATCATCGGATGATACCCCCCCCAACTCCCGCCCTTGTCGCCGAGGGAAAGTGCGCGCGAACCCGCGTGATTGTGGGTAGCTCCAATTTTGCCCAAAGGATTATTCCCGCCCAAACGCACACCATTTTTCTTCAAGGAATCTATGCAATACGAAATCGCCAGACAACGTTTTTTCACACTCTTGACAGCAGAAAGGTACCCCCAGAGCGCCAGAGACCACCTAAGCGACGGACATGGCTTGGCCAGATCAACAGGAGCAGGAGCGGCGTTGCACCTAAAAGGGTGCCGGACCAACAGCGGCGAAACTAACACACAAAAGAGCTCCCCACCAATATCCCAAAACAAGCCCTGATCAAGATAGCCTGCAAGGGACACTCAAACACCGATGCCAATCAGCACCACCCCACACACCCACACACCGACGCCCATCAGCACCGACAACACTTGAAAAGGGGGCCACAAGGGGACCAAAACCTCTCCCGAGACACCAAGACCGCTACCGGGTCGATAACAATGACGCTATACCACACCTGGTTCGTGAGGTCGTCTATTTCGCCCGCCCGTCCGATGTAGGACGCCGGGGCCACCTCCGAGGAGGTGGTGGTGACGGCCGACAGCGACCGGCTTGCCAAGGCGGGTCGGCAAGCTGATTGAAGCGGAACGGGACGGAACAAAAAAAATGCAAGTTCAGAGGGTACGGGGTGTGTGGCGAGAGGTGGTCTCAGGGGGAGAGTGTTGAGGTGGCACAAGACCTGTACATACAGATTTGTTAAAAAAACTGCTGTCCTTTATTGGTTCGTTCAGGTTCTCGCTGGGCTCCTCGAGTAAAAAAACACGTCAGCCGCTGCTGTGTGGGCTGCTGAGCTTGGGGGAACGTCACAACTGGCGGCCAGCTGTGGGTTGGTCCTGCTGCCTGCTTCTTATTTTCATCTTGCATCACCCCTTGTTGACACTGCTGTGCTCTCATGAGCCAACCCCATAATGTGGTGTCTTCCGGCCATGACGTTGTAGGATAAAACTCGTCAACCCGCCGGCGTGGGAGAGGCAAAGCGCTCCCAGAACAGAGGACGCTGCCTGCATTGCTCGATATCAATTCCTCCTACATAGCTCAGCCTCCTTGCTTAGGTAGGGGTTGGTGGGAGAGCGGCACGCTCGCAACCTCTGTCGGCCCCTGTTTCCAGAGCACTTCAGGGTGTCCTCTACTTCTTCCCCCACAAGGACGTGCGGGAGAAACTACAGCGGTTTCGTCGCCTCCAGCCGATGGTTCGTCGACCTGCCCGACACTACCATGTAGGTAGGCGTCTCCAACACTAGCGCTACCGGGCAGTGACCCTTCTCGGCTGTCCAAAACCAGAAGTAGCCAGCCTGCTTTCACTAATTGTTGGCGGGTGGGTGTGCTCCACAGACCTCAACCCTTTCGTCGCAAGAAGTGGTGTGGAATTTGTGGGAGAGTAATGCCGGTTGTACACTTCGCCCAACGTCTCCTCGGGTGGCATGTGTCCTATGCCTACAACGGGTGGGGCATCTTCCTCTGCTCCTGCTGCTGCTGACATTGCGGGCGGTAACTTTTTCAACCCGGCACAGCACCAAGAGCAGCCGTACCCGCGCGTAACCCTTCACGCCTCCGCATCTTATCACGGGGTGTGAGCGGGGTGCTTCCGCATCGACAAATAGACATCGATGTCGAGGGGCGACGCGGTGGCGATCACGCCAATAACGTACCGTGCGATTTGAGCGACAACACAAAAAAATGGTCGTGTTCACTGTTAGCCACGGCATGGACAACCGCCAACGTACTGGCCTTTGCGCGCGTCAATAACGTCTGTCTGCAACACGAGCATCATAGATAGTTGCAGTCTGTTTTCATGAGGAAGGGGCCGAGGGAGGCTGGCTCCAAATGGCTTTTAGTGTCGAGCGCGAGCTTACTTTACGCAATTGGGTTCTTGCACATAGTGCTTCATTTCTCTCTTTTCCTCGTTTGCTCGCACGGCCACTTGTCGTGTTGTCCAAGGCGAAATCGCCGGCAGCATGTAGTCTAATCGATGCGTTCGCCAGGCAGACTCGATGCTGTCTTCAGTCTCAGTCATCTAACAGCAGTCCACCCTGCTGTACGTTGACTACGAACGAGACACAGCACACATTTTTTCCCGAGCCGCTACATGTTGTACGCCGTCCAATTTTCGACTCACATGCACAAAGCCCAGACCAAAGAAGTACTCCGTGCAAAAACTTGGAATGTGAACATGCGTGCATCTCGGTACACATCGAGCACAGCTCGGACGGAGAGGACTGACGAAGTCACTGCATGCTGTATGCTCCGAATTTACGAAACAACCGCGGGGTGCGCCAAAGGTTCGGTATTCCGCCACTAAAACAGGGAACAAACATGGAAAGACGCAGCGCCTAGACTCCGTCTACGGGGAACACCGATGAAGCATACCCCCTGCCCTTATCCGCCAATCGAGCTCTTTGCGCGTGTGCTTGCGTGGTACAGCAGTAGAGATGTTGGGCGGGCACGAAACAGTCGTCGCCGCAATACATCGCGTCGTCGGGACTGAGAGACGTCTTTGCTTTTAGGTACACAGCCGCACCGAAACGATGCAAACCGAGCTACAACATACCAGCCGAGGCAACGAAACTTGCCCAAGCGTGTCCCCCCTACCCCCTGCCCCCCCCTCCTCGCTTGCGGTCGAGATGCAAAACTCTCTACCCTCCCTGTCGCTCTCTCTGCTCGAAGAGGACATCGTGAAGCGTTCGCGTTCGTACCTGATGCTGCACGGGGTACCACCACCGCCTTAGCCGGCGTTGCGACTGCCCGGAGAGCAACCGGCGCCGCCGCCCTGCGCACAGCGTTACGGAACATCTTGCCGCGCGGGACGGGAGTAAAAGTTAACGCCTTCCTCCTCCTTGCTCGTCAGCGTGTGTGTGCTCCCCTCTCACCTCTCCCTGCTAGCGAGGCTCCGAAGTCAAGAGTGCTCGGGCCCCCCGCACCCGTATATTGCGTCATCAAAATCCACTTCGCGTGCCCCCCAACAACCTGGGGCAAAGGGCAACCAGGGCAACACAACATTGGCTGGGGCGAGCACAGCTTGCTGCATCGTAGCCTCTCACTGCTTGTGCGTCGTTCCAAGCAGGACGGTTTTAATCTCGCGGGGCTGAGTGTCGAGGAGCAGAGCGAGCGACCGAGCGACCCCCACCCGCCTGACAGGGAAAGCAAAGATGTCGGGAGATCTCGTGGGAAGCAGGATCAGCCTCATCTCCAGGAAGGACATCCGGTGGGAGGGCATCCTCGTCCAGGTCGACCGCGAGAATGCCTCGGTCACCCTACAGAACGGTGAGCACTGGCGCTTCTGCTGCTGCTGCTGCTGCTGCTGTAGGTCCTGCGCTCTTCGGCGAGGAGCCGGGCGTGCGATTTGATTATAAATGTGTGTGAGCCGCGGTGTGTGAATAATAAATACCACTGCCCATGGGTTGCCGCGTTTCAACGCGATGATCTTTTTCTTAGACTCCAGAATGCCCTACGCATACAGCAGCTGCTGCTGCTGGTGCTGGTTTTCCGCGTCGACGACGTCTGATCGCAGCAGCACGATGGCCACGTGTTCGCGATGGAAGCCATGCCCGGCTTTTGTCTCTCTTGCTGTTCGCCCGGGGCGCACCAATAGACAAGATAGGGCTGCTGTTGTTGCCGCCGAGTTCCTCATTTTTTTGCGCGAAACAAACAAAAACTTGCCGTTGAAGATGATGACAGCAGAGAGAGCGGACCATCCTCCTTCAAAGACTTGTTTAGCCAGCGGAGCTTTCTTTCTCCCCCAAGAGTCAAATGAACACTCACACGAGAGGTGCCAGCCGGATGCCACACGGCAGTCTCGAGCGTTGGTTGTATCTGTCTTCTGTCATTGCAGCTCCAACCGTTTTTTTACACAACCAGAGCGGCGCCTCCGTCTTCCTGAAGTTTTTTTCCACGGAACGAACGTTCATGCCACTTCGCATATCCAGCCAAGTTCTCTCTCTTTCTCGAGCAGCAGCAGCAGCAGCAGCAAGCAGCAGCTGTGATATCGGGCACTCCGAGAGAGAGAGACAAGAGGCGCTGACAGCAGCAGCAGCAGCTTGTTGTCTCACTTGGATCAGCCCTTGCTTACGGGAGCAGCTTGTTTTGGCGAAAGGTTGCTTGCAGATGTTGTTTTTTCTCGGAAGCCTCACCTCGAGTCCGGAAACGATTAATTGCTGCGGGTTGGTCCCCTCCCCTGTCCCCTATCCCCCCTCCCCTCTCTGCCTGCTTGCTCGGCGCGTTGCTTCCCACGACAGCTGTTTCCGGCGTCCGCAGACGCACCATTTGCTTCCTACCCTTTGTAACGAAAAGTCCACACATCAGTCAACAATGTCTCACGCGCCAGCAACACCGTGTTTCCTCTCTGTAACAAGTGTGTGGAGGGGTACCCTGCACGAGCCTAATTACGGGATAGCACAATCATAATTCGACATATAAAACGGCTCTTTTCCTGCCCCCCCCCCCCCCCCCGTGGCTGCGTGCTGTACCCGTCAACGCACCAATCGCGCAGTACCGATGTGCAAGACATGCTCTAGAGACATGAATTCGTCTCGTGCCCGATTTGCATGTTGTAGCGATTTTGTTGCGAAGAGGTTCGGTTCTCGCTCATGTACAGCATGACATGCAATACTTCCAACAAGGAAATCAACCCATCTCTATAATATCGTTAAAAAAAGCACATCTCCTTCGACTGATGTATGGCACCGCTTTTGTCTCGAACGGGTATCAAAAGCCGTTCTATGATTGTGTGTATGCTTCGAAGTACTTTAATATTGAGAAGAAAAAAAAAAACAGAAAAAGAGTCGGTGCGTTCGCCAGAATGGACGTTGGGTCTGTGGCCCTCTTATTTTCCGGAAGGTCGTCGATCTGGGGGAAGGACTCTATCCTCGTTCTCTGCTGGCCTGGGGACGGGGACAGCAGGATACATTGAACAAAAAAGTCAAGCACAGCCGTCGGTCTCTTCCTCTTGATCGTGCTGATACATCAGCGGTACAGCGGTACATTACGTTCTGGTCTCCGGGGGGGCACAAGCTGCGGCGGGGTGATCTGTGCGTGTGATTCATACCAGTGCAACTACCCCCCCCCCCCCCCCTTCCCCTGCAATCCCCGTGATCTCGCTGTTGTTATTCCTCTGCGACTTGCCCAGCGGTCGAGAGTATGATTGGTGGAAATGGCCCACTGGGCGCGAGGGTATTTTGGCTGTGGTGTGGCATGCATCTATCCAAGTGATGTACGTACACATCCTCCGCTCTCCGTCTTTTCCAGATATTCTCTTGTAGTAAATCCTTGCAGCCTTGCACACGTACAGCACCACAAAGAAAAAAAACTCTCCGAAGCAGAGACGGTAAGCAACTGACCCTCACATGGTTGTCCACTGGATGGTTGTGCATCATGATACGGGCGGTACCACGAAGAGGACACACCCATCACTTGGGGTCGCGGCAATTCTTTGCGGCCACTTCTGCTGTCCCCGCCTTGGGAAACACGTCAGAACCAATTGCACCCCCGCTCCCTAGCTACCATTACACAGCTCTCGTGTTTTGCATGCCTTAGCGGTTAGACCACTAAGCGAGGGGGGGGAAGTCCAGAAAATGTTGGAAGGGTTGTGACACTTGCTTGCTTGACTCGCACACCGGTGCCTCTGACACATTCGGGGGGGTTTCTTTGGGCCTGGTTTGCTCTTCCTGAAATCTAGACGACACGCCCTTGGTCGTGTCCCGGCTTTACCGACTCACACCAGCAACCACACGCGAAACGCAGACGACTTGCAGTTCTTTGCGCCCTTGGTGGCACAAATGATATACGATGTAGAGCGCATTGCCGTGGGTGGATATTGCGACCGCCGCCCCTCATCCCTCTACCCTCTTCGAAGCTAACCGCGACCTTCTTTCGTCCCCTGTCTCTTGATCTCTTTGCTCCGGCGGGTCTTTTTACCTGGCTCGTGACCCGTCCGCGAGTCGCTGCAGCTCCATCCGATCTTCAACGAAACAACTGAGGCAGAATCTTAGGAGAATGTGTAGAATGTGTGTTTAGTCGTACAAGGACGAGGTTAGTTACGGGAGTGAGTTCACTTTTGGCCTCTTGCAATTCGAAGTCTCCCTCACGTGTTCTCCGTCGCCAAGACATTCTTGCCACCACTGCTGTGGTACCGACAATAACCTACCGACCGTTTCACCTCTTTAGTTGTCTGGTCATGGCCTCTCATCTCTCTCCTCTGTCTCTCTGTCTCTTTCTCTCTCTCTCTCTCCTGTCTCTCTGTGTCTTTTTCTCTCTCGCCGCCCTCGGCTGCACATTACTTCGCTGCTGCGTGCGGTCTTCTGCCTTACGCTGCCGCCGCGACCGCTTAGTCAAGAGCTGGGGCACGGAGGGTCGCTTGGAGGGCGATCAGCAGATACCCCCCTCCGACCACCTTCACGCGTGCGTCAACTTTAGGGGGGAAGACATCAAGGACCTGCACGTGCACGAGGTGGGTCAAGACGACACTGATGTCACTGCTGTTGTGGGGATAAGATGCTGAAAATCTGATGGCGGAAGTTTCTGTGGTTGGGTATAGGGAGTGGTGGGAGAGCTGCAGACTACTGCTGTAGTTCTTGGCCATGTTTCTCTTTTGAGTCAACTCTGATGGCGGTAGTTTCCGTGGCCGCGTTCCCTTCGGGTATGGGGAGTGTTGGGAGAGCTGTGCTGCTGTAGTTCTGTGGCCAACATTTTGCTTGTGCTTGAAGTCGTGCGAATCAGCCACACGAGCATAACCTCATGCACTTGCAACCCCCCCCTTCCACAACATCGGGTGGTGTCGGATGTTGCTCGCCCTGGCTTCCGACTCTCCCCTCATCCACGTACACGTCATGCATGCACTCTTTGAAAAGCTAAGAACAACATCGGCCGGAAGCAGCGGTAAACAAATAAAAATTACTTATCGCCGTCAACCAAGCACACATTGATCCCCTCGTATGAGAGAAACGACAGCATCAACAACGGCAGCATCAGCAGAAGCAGCAGCAGCGGCGGCAAACAAGAAGCAAAAATCACCATCACCAACGAACAAACACACATCAAAATTCCCTCGGCCGCGCAGACGGCGGAGGCACCTGCTCCACCGCCAGCGGCACCGGTGCAGCCCCCTCCTCCTCCGGCACTCCCCGTGGCGCCGGTGGCAACTCGCGTAGCCCCCGACGTGGCGGCCGGCGGCGGAGCGGGAGGAGTGAGGGCAGCAGCGGAGAACGGAGACGTTGAGGCGGAAGACGCTCCTGGCTCTTCAACCATGAGGGACCAGGTACGTTTTATGTATGCGTGCGCCGTAGCCTTGGTGAGGATGCGTGGAACTCTCGTTTCGTGTGATCTAGTGCTGTGTCGCAATTGTTAGCTGTCGCCGTCGTCTTGGTTGGGATTTCTGCAGGAGGGGGGTAGATATGCGGCGCGGTTGCAGTTCCTACGGTTGCAGTTTGCTCGCCTCACGATTCGTGGGGCATAAGAAGTGGGCTGAAAAGGCGGAAAGTGATACCGGATGGGTAGACACGATGGGGAAAATGTGTCTGAAGCCACCTTTGGCAAATTTTCTAGCAAGGAACGATCGGCCATCGTTGATCGGTCCTGTGGGAGCAAAATGCTCCGTCTTCTCGAGGACGCGTGGTCACTGGTCTAACCGCTAAGGCGTGAAAAACACAAGAGTACGCCCCCCCTCCCTTCACGATCACGCCCCGTGTCCTATTTAGTCGTCGACAGGCCGACAGGCTTCGCCCCAGCATCGTAGATGGGGACGCAATGACGTCCAATGACTTGAAGCAAGATGGTACTGAGTAGAGACCGGAGCGATTTTTAATGTGAGGACATGAGCAACAACATCGACAACAACAACAACAACGACAACCATAGTTGGAGTAAGAGCTGGGTCGTGCGTGGCGGTGTCACCAAGGAGTAAACTGCCCCGTGTGCTGACCGCACCGCCTTCCCTGCGTTGGCCCGTCCCCTCTCGTGCTGCAGGGGCTCAAGCCCGGAAGGTACCAGCCGCCTCACAAGAATCCCAACTGGAAGCCCCCCCCTACGGTCCAGAGGTACGTGGACGGGTACTCGCTCTCCGTGAGATCCCGAGATGGAAATTGGTGCGCTTGAAGCCATCAAGAAGCGGGGAAACGTACCCCGAGAGAGGGATATGTGCACGCGCATGCGACCAAACATTTTTTTGTGTTTGGAGGAGAAGGTGTAGGTAGGTAGACCTTTGGCACCGCGTTCTGGATGTGTTTTTTCTTCGCCAAGGAGGGAGACTTTGAAGGGACACGTCGACGACGCGATCGTGTTTACCGCAGGTGACGTAAGATAAAATAACCACTGGGCTGCTGTTTTTCAAAGCTCGATTACTCCACAGCAGAAAGAACGGCGGTGCCGAAAGTGGCGGCGTTGGAACGGTCTCGTCGAGAGCTTTCCGAAAACCGATCGTTTCATTTTTGCGCCCTCTTCTTCGTGGAGTAATCGGGCTTTGAAAATCGATTCAAGGGGGTGTGGTATCTTACGTTATGTCACCGACGGTCAATTCTGTATACCGACGGAAAAATCTAAGGGCCGTTCCGGGCGTCGTTCTGGGGACCTTTCCTCGCGAGTTTTCCTTCAATTCCCGCAACAAACACACACGTTATACTGTTATCCCTTCTCCTAAATTCCCTTCCCACTGCTGACTAGTCCACCGTCCACACGTCGCAATGTTGCTACCCCTGTACCCCCCCCCCCGTCTACGCGACCTTCTTTCATTCCTGCCCGCGCGTTCGTTCAAATTCCCGCGATTGCCTGATTTAGGAGAAGGAATATTATCAAATATGGGCGCGTTTATTGCGGGAAGTTGAACGAACGAACGGGCAGGAATGAATTTAGGAGAAGCTATGTTAGTAAAGGGGCGTGTTTAGAGTCGTAGGTCATAAGGACCAGGAAGAATGAGATAGACGTCCTGTACGTGTTTTTGCTGTCGGCTCTCACGGGAGGCCGCAGGTACTTCGATCGTGCCAAAGCCGTCGCGATTGCGGTAGACAACCCGTCTGCTCAAAAGCGGTCGAGGGAGAGAAGTAGCACATTCGTCCGACGACTGACCAAGCCAACCGGAAAACGGGCTCGGTCGGTGATTTGGGCGTCACATGCCATCAGATGAATTCCGTGCGAGTGATGCTGCACGTGTTGTTGGAGACGGATCGCGTCCTCGGAGTGCCCCCTTCACGTTCCCGTTCGCGACGGAAAACACACACCAGGACACAGCGGTCCCGAAGGCCCACCTACACCCCGGTCGTTGCTCACCTCCTCGAACCCCCCAAAAACTAATGGTGCATTCATTTCCTTCTCCTGAAGTTCGTCCCTGCTCCCGCTTTTGTTTCGTTCGTTCGAAACGTCCCGCCGCGCGCGGCAGGGGTCCTCCGGGCCCCGGGAGCGGAGCAGGGTCGGGCACCGGCGCCCTGCCCGGGCAGGGGAACCACCTCCTCAACAGGCGCACGCGCGGCGGCGGCGGCGGCCCTTCGGAGGCGGAGGGGGAGTTCGACTTTGAGGCTGGCCTCGCTAAGTTCGACAAGGAGAAGGTGGGGGATTGGGGTGGAGCGTTTTTTTTGTGGTTGGTTTTGTGTGGTGGGAGAGTTGTGATGGTCCGCGGCAAGAGCAAAGGGGGGCGGGGGGCGGGGGAGGGGGTTCTCGAATGTTTTGCATGCTTTTAGGGGTTGGACCGTTGACCACCACGCGACCTCGAGAGGACGGAGCGTTGTTTCAACGAGGGGTTGGGGGTTACGTTTTTGGTTTGTGGCTGTGTGAGCCATGATGCCTGTGGCAAAAGCGGGACGGGGAGCGGAATTGTATTTCTTTGATGAGTTGTGATGTCCGCGGCAAGAGCAGGACAGGGGGGCGGGGGTCCTAGGTGCGTGCTTTGACGCGGGGATGTGTGGGAGGGGGGGGGGGGGTCCCGCATCACTCAAAGAACCACCAAGGGCCTCTACTTTCTTTGTCATGTATCGGAACGGGTTGAAATTGCTCATCCCCGGTCTCACGAGTCAAATCACCAAAACGGGGAACGAGCCACCACGTGACTCAACA